CCGTTCCTGGCCGCGCTCCCGGGATCCTGGCGCGTTCCCAGCGGCTCCAGCCGCAGCGCTGGGCGCGGCTCCGAGGGCTCCCGGGGTGTCTGGAACATCCCGGATCCCCTGGGGTCACTCCCGCGGGCCGGGGGCGGGAGCAGCTCCCGCCGCCTGTCCCGGCTTGCCGGGCTAAATTTGGGAGACGTGCGGAGAGACGGGATGAGCAGGTAGGGAAGAGCCCCAGGTGCTCCCGTGGAGGCTCCGGCCGGCGTCTTTTCAGATCCTTTTTGGGATTTCCATCGCTTTTCCTGCTGCCCTCCCCTGCTCCTGGCGCCTCCGGTGGGAGCTGAACTCGTGTAGGGATGCGTCATTCCAGGGATTTGTGCCCGAGCCAAGAGTTTGGCTGGGGCGAGGTTTATCCCGGGAATGACTCGGAGCAGGTGAGGAGCAGCTCCAGGTGCCCGGGATCGGAGCCGGGACGCTTTCTGTTCCCTGCGGAGCGATTCCCGATGTCCCCGAGCGGCCGCACGGAATTCCCACCTATTCCCAGGTGCTGGTCCTGCTCCCCGGCCCGCTCCGCGGGGAAAGGCCTCGCCCAGCCGGTTTGCAGGTGGAGCTCCCGCAGCTCTTTGTTGTCGGAGCTGGTTCCTTATCAGCCTGGGAGCGGGATTGGGATGGGGTTGGGATGGGCTCCAGGCTTGGGATGGGGTTGGGATGGGCTCCTGTTTTCCAGAGGGCATTCCTGCACCTGGAGCTGGGGCGGGGGAGCCGCAGAGGTGGGAGGGCGGGGATGGACCTGCCCGTGCCTCCATCCCCGGAGCCGCCGAGCATTCCTGCCTGGAAAACCACACACTGGGGGATTTCCTGGCATTCCAGGGCTCCCGAGGGGGGGTTCCTCCCGCTCCCCTTCCCTGCCGAGCCGCGTCCATGGGCTTTAATCCCGAAAGGAGGGATCGTGCTGCCGTTCTCAGCGATTCCGGGGCTTCCCGAGGGGGAATCTCCTGCCCTGGGCAGAGGCCGGGGAGGTCTCTGTGAGGAGATGGGAGCTGGGCTGGGAGGGGATCCCGGGGGGATCCTCGGGGACCCCCGGCGCTGACGGCGGCGCTGTCCCTCAGGATGGACCGGATGACGGAGGACGCGCTGCGCCTGGCTCAAGCGGAGCCTGGAGCCGCCGGAGGAGCGCGAGGACGTCCTGGCCAAGCGGCTCAAGATGGAGGGGCACGAGGCCATGGAGAGGCTGAAGATGCTGGCGCTGCTCAAGCGCAAGGACCTGGCGGGGCTGGAGGTGCCCCACGAGCTCCCGGTGAAGCCGGACGGGATCAAGGGATACGAGGAGAAGCTCAACGGGAGCCTGCGGCCCCACGGGGACGGGCGGAGCGCGGCTCGGCCGGGCAAGGAGAACATCAACGACGAGCCCGTGGATATGAGCGCCAGGAGGAGGTGGGTGCCGGGAATGCCGGGCTCTGGAGGGGCGGGAATTCATTGGGATCTGGGGGGTCCCGGAGATCCCTTTCTGAGAGCTGGGGAGGGATTTGGGAGTGGTGGGGTGAGGGGGAATGGCAGGTGGGATCCCGGGAAGGAATTGTTCCCCGTGAGGGTGGCACAGGTTATCCAGGGATTTGTGGATTTCTCATCCCTGGGAAGTGTCCGAGGCCAGGCTGGAGCAGCCCAGGACACTGGAGGTGTCCCTGAAGGGTCCTGCTCCCAGTGCGGAGCCAGGGGCTGTGTCCTCAGCAGAATTCCTTGGATATTGTGCAATACGAGGGTCCCCAGGGGGGCTCCAGCATCGCACACGGACACTCGGATCAGGAGACCAGCCCTGGCACGAGGTGGGAATGTTCTGCTCCAAGTCGAGAAGTGAGGCTGGGAATGTCTCATTTTCCTGGATTTTCCTTGGGAACGTGCTCCACGTCTCCTCACCGTGGCTCCTCCTCCGGCGGTTCTGTTGGAATTCTGCTCTTCCCCGGACAAAGGAAATCCAGTCAGTGATTCCTCATGGATGGGTCCTTTTTTCCTCTTGGATTTGGGCTCTGCCTTTATTCCCGTGATGGAATGTCAGTGATCCAGCCTGGATACATCCGGATGCTCCTGCAGGATCACCCCCAGGAGCCGTGGGACAGCCTGGGATCCAGCGCCGGATCACTCCGGATCTGCCAGCCCAGTTTGGAGCTCCTGGGATGCAGCTTGGACGGGCTCCCACCGGCTCCTTCTCCTTGGGATGCTCTGGAATTCCTCTGCTGGAGCAGGGGCAGCGCCGTGCCCTTGGGAATATCCACAGAAAGATCTGGAATGTTTGGGAGATGAAGGCAGCCTCAGCTCCGAGCGTGTTCCCGCCCAAGCTGGGAGCTGGGATTCGGCTCCGGGCTCTCTCCTGGGTGTTCAGGGCTCAAAGTTTGGGATGAGATATTCCACGGTCTCCCCTCACTCCAAGGACCTTCCAGGGAGCCGGAATTACCTCTGAGCATTCCCACTGCTCCATGCTGGATTATCCCGCTGTTTTCCGAGGCTCTCCGGCGGCAGGAATGAAATCCAGGATAGCCAAGGGCTTTTTCTTGGAGTCTCCTTCCCCGGGATGATCCCGCCTGGATCCCGCTGGATTCCAACACGGATTTTGGGTTTCTTTTCCCTGCCGCTCCTTTTCCCAATCCTGGTTGGATCAATTGGATATTCCTGCAGGTTTTCCTTTATGGAAGGAGCTTTTCCAATAGATTTGGGTTGGGAATGGGGGGTTCGGCCCCTTCTCCACCGCAGTGAGGACGAGGCTGGAGCATCCCTGCCATTCCCTCCCATCCCCAGGATCCATTCCCGATTCCCCGGTGGGATTTGCAGCCCTGCAGAGGGGTGAGGGAATCCCGCTCCCGAAATCCCCCGTCCCTGGCTCACCGGGATTCCTTTCCCCCGCAGTGAGCAGGACCGGGGCCGCCTGACCCCGTCCCCGGACATCATCGTCCTGTCGGACAACGAGGCCTCCAGCCCCCGCTCCAGCTCCCGCATGGAGGAGCGGCTCAAGGCGGCCAACCTGGAGATGTTCAAGGTGAGGGAACGGGAATTCCATCCCGGGAAGGGCATGGGAAGCTCCTCGGCAAATTCCGGGTGCGGCTCCCCCTCGGTTCTTGCCCCCGTGGTCCGAATTCCCGCCCGGAGCTCGGCCCCGCTCCCCTCCTCACGGTGTGCCCGCTGTTTTCCAGGGGAAGAGCCTGGAGGAGCGGCAGCAGCTGATCAAGCAGCTCCGGGACGAGCTGCGGCTGGAGGAGGCCCGGCTGGTGCTCCTCAAGAAGCTGCGGCAGAGCCAGCTGCAGAAGGAGAACGTGGTGCAGAAGGTGAGGGAGGTGGGGAGGGGTGGGGCGGGATAACGGGAGCGGGCAGGCACGGGGCCGGTTCCCACAGCCCGGGAAGGCAAACCGGGATTCCCGCCGGGAGCGCTGACCCCGGCTCTCGGTGCTGCCCGCAGACCCCCGTGGTCCAGAACGCCGCGTCCATCGTGCAGCCGTCCCCCGGCCACGTGGGGCAGCAGGGCCTGTCCAAGATCCCCTCCCGGCCCGGAGCCCAGGGCGTGGAGCCGCAGAATTTAAGGACATTGCAGGTGAGCGTTCCCGTTTTCCCTGGGAAATGCCGGTTTTGCCGGGTGCTCACAGAGCTGAGGGGCTTTTCCCGGCAGGCAGAGGAATTCCCGCCATTCCCGGTGCGCGGGGTTGGATTTGGGGTTGTCAGGAGTTAGGCTCGGTGATCCTTGTGGAGCCGGGTATTCCGTGATCCTGTGAATGTCCCGAGTCCCGGCTGGAGGGGGATGAGGGCGGTGGGAATTCTCCAAGGCCTGCGGCCTTCCTGCTGCTCCCAAAGGAGAAGTGTCTGATCCATGGATTTCTGCTGCTCCCCTTGACCATGGAGCAGTTCCAGCCTCCTGTGGGAAATAGGGATTGGGCTGGGGCAAGAGCCACAATCCCGTAAAACCCAGGACAGTCTGTGGAAAAGGGAGGGATTTGGGGCATCAGGAGTTACCTGGGTTCTGGATCCGTGGGAATTCCGTGGATCGGGGAATCGGTGCTCCAGGTTTCCCTCATTTTCCTGTGGTTTTGTTCCTGAGCTCAGGGGGCGTTGGTGGGGGGGGAATGGTTGGGGTTTGTTCCGTGCTGGTCCCGGGATCTGACTCCAGGATTGCCCGTGGGTTCCCCGGCAGGGCCACAGCGTGATCCGCTCGGCCGCCAGCTCGGCGCTGCCCCACATGC